AGACACCATAACTATTTAATATGGCTTTACAGTAGTAACAATATGTTATCGTTTAATAAACTATAATGTCAAATTTTATTATGACCTTTCCCTTATATGTTTATAATAATATAAATAAAGTGATTATCTCTAAAGTAGACAACCAACTTTTAATAAAGGATATTGACCATTTGAATCTAGCCATGTCAGCAAATGGAAAAGTCGGTCAAATTTTTGTTTTTAACGTCAATTATTGGGCCTTTACCTAAATACCATACTTTTACATATTCTTCGGTTATTGAAAAACTATTGATTTAATTACCTTGAACGAAGCTGAAAATCTTTAACAAGACATTCGTCTAAAATATATTTTGTAATTTAAATGATTCTCACTTGCTACATCAATCTATAACGGTTTAAAAAACACAAAATATTAAATCAGCTTAGTGCAGAATCTGCTTTGCGTTGCTGCCCACAACCGCACGATCAGTCAGCCAGATTTCCATATGCAAAGCGAAAGGTTGTTTCTGCAGTGAATTATTGTGCAGTCTAGTGTTTTAACAAAAAATACTTCAGGATACAGACAAATGTGTGTTTTACCCTGCTGTGCATTTACCTCTATTGTACACAATATATATATATATATATATATATTTGTGTTTATTAGAGTATTGTTGAGTTAGCAACATGTGACCACCAAACTCAGTCAGTTAATTCGAGTCTCTCATGTGCTTTGATTGAGGAGGGATATTTGTACTTTGATTTAGAGTCTGTTTTAATATTGATGTTTATGCTTATCAGAGTATTGTGTTCTTGGCTTAGCCACACGCTAATGTCAAACTCGATTGAAATCGACTGTGAATCGAGTCTCCCACGCACTTCACATGAGAGAGATGTTTGTGATTTATCTTTTAGAATTTATATATTTCATATATATGTTTAAGCGTATTCTTGTTGTTGCCTTAGCAAGGTTTCTTGTTTGTTGCATGGAGTTGCTTCCTATGAAGAGTCTTTCAGTTAAGCCGCCTTAGAAGGCAGCAAAAATGTTTTGGAACAAAGCTGTTAAATGTTCATTTTTATTAATTAATGTTTTTTATTTATTGAAACAATTTGAAATGTTACAAATGTGTCAGTAGAAGTTGTCATTAATTAACATTAATAAATTAGGCAAACGTATTGTTCATTGCTGTTTTACAGAATAAGCTATTTGTTATTTGAACCCAAATACAAGCAATACTGGTAACACTTTACAATAAGTTCCCATTAGTCAAGTTTAGTTAATGCGTTAACTAACAATGAGCAATACATTTGTTGCACTATTTATTTATTATATATCTGCAAACGTTAGTAAAATAAAAAATACAACTGTTCATTGTTATTTCATATTAGCAATAAATAACATTAACAGATACAACTTTGATTTTAATACTGTATCAGTAAATGCTGAAATTGAGATTAAGAAACATTTTGCATTGTTAGATCATGTTATCGATTATCTATTGTAGTTAACTAATGGAAGCTTTGTGCATCCTAGCAATGAAAAACAAAACAGACACATTAAATACAAAACATGCTGCAGATTAAAAGCTTTTATAATCAGCAGTTTACAGTTTAAAATGAACAGTGTGATAGTTTCTTAACTAGTAGGTGCCTAAAGCAGATATATGTGAAAATGGCAAGCATAAAGCAATGCTTTATTTAGTGAAGAAATGATGCTTTCTTGCCTGCTGTGATTAGATCTGTATCTTTCAGAGCAGTTTTCGAGTTGAAGACAGTCCCGTCTGTATGTCTCAGAGATCTGGTACTCTGTTCATAGCATCCCGGGCCGTCTTTGTTAAGGATCCGTCGGTGTGAATAATGTAGAAGCTTCTCTCGGAAACCCTGTAAGTAAAAACCAGCGTGGTAAACTCGCCTCACTTCATTTCCTCGGAGTAGAGAGCACTGCTTGTTGCTTGGCTTTCTGGGTTGAGTGTGAAAGCGTGGCCTCCATGAGGACGGGTCTGTTTGGCTGTATCTCCAGGCAACCGTTCTGCCTGATAGTTTTATTGCTTTGTTGTTGGCTTTCTGAGCGAGCAGCACAATTTACAGTGACTTGTTTTTTAATAGATGACATGTGTTCTATTTATGCACAAATGTTAGTATGCATGTCACTGCAATAATATTTTGCAGCATCAATGTGGTTAGTTTTTGTGGTTAACCGTTATCTTTTGAGATCAGCACCTGGCGGAGAGCTGGTTAGAAATGGATATAGTTTGGCTGAATGTAAACTATTCCTGAAAGCAAGTTGGACTCAACTTTTTACTGTATATGTGATTTAAATTACTCCACACTTTTATAATTAATGAGAGGCTATTATTTTATTTTATTTTTGTATTTATATATTTTAGAATTTAGTTTTACTTCATCTTGTTTTTGTTTTACCTTTTATTTTATTTTTATTTCATTTTATTTTATTGTTTGTTTTATATATATATATATATATATATATATCCTTTTTTATTTTATTTTTACTTTATTTTATTTTACTTGTTTATTTATTATATTATATTGTTTTGTTTTGTTTTACCTTTACTTTATTTTACATTTATTTATTTTTTTTAACTTTTTTTTTTTTTACTTAATTTGTTTTTGTTTTACTTTTTATTTTATATTTTTACTATTTATTTTATTTTTGTATTTACATATATTTTATAATTTAGTTTTACTTTATCTTGTTTTTGTTTTACCTATTTTAATTTTTATTTCATTTTTTGTTTTATATATATATATATATAGATATGTATTATTTTTTATTTTATTTTAGTTTGACTTTATTTTATTTTATTTTACTTGTTTATTTATTAGATTGTTTTGTTTTGTTTTATCTTTAATTTATTTTACATTTAGTTTTTTATTTTACTTAATTTTTTTTACTTTTTTATTTTACTTTTTATTTTATATTACTTAGTTTTTAATTTTATTTTCATTTATTTTATTTGAGTTCATTTGAAAGTTTAACCCTTTACATACTGATAATTGATGGCCTGTTCGTTTTACGCAGCATGACCTAGATCGTACAGTAGGTGGAGAAAATAGTTTTTCTGTTAGATAAGCAGTAGGTATGCCATGGTATCGGCATACAAGGAATACGATATATCTGACAGTAGTGAATCCCAACTAGATTTATTTTTGACCTGTTAAGTATAACATTTCACTTACAGTCACGCAAATTATCACCACATTTGCCCTTGCATTTTAAGACCGATAGAGGGCAGTAAACTGCTTTGATGTTTAGTTACCTGATACATGATGCAAAAGTGTTTTGAAAGCATGCAGCAGAGACCATGCAACATGCATGTCACTACTGCAAAAATAAATGCGTTTTCTTGTAGATCAAGAACATGCTTTATCTTTTAAAGTCTTGTTTTGAACGGCAACTTTGCTTGTTTTTCTTCAGCTCAATCTCAGACGAGTCATGAGTAAAGTTGGCTCACACAGACATCTAGGGGAGTTATGTTTGAACCAGACAAAACACATGCAGGCGACTTGAGGTGAAGTGCCATTCAGTCACACTGAATGTGTTTTGATCAGTACATGGGTTGTTATCTAGCTCATTTGGGTACGGTGACAGCCGGTCTGGATCATTATATATATCCCCT